GTATTCTTCTTTTTATGCTGATCCTTTTGATCCCTTTCAGGCATAATTTGATTTAACATCAGAATCCCTTAATGCCTTAGACTTAATAAATCGAAGCCCAGCACCAGGTATGGTTTGAGCTTGTCCACTGTTGCCATGCTGACAAGATTTTAGAATTAGTGCGGTTTGTCATGGATGCACGTCGTCTTCTTGGCTATAGCTCTGGAATTCAGAATTTATTAAGGGATCAAGAATTATGGACTTTTCGTGCAAGCGAAACAAATAAAAGAAACATTAGTAAGGCAAATCTACAACCGATTTACATCAGTGAATTACTGCCTATAATATTTGGATTTGTCCTTTTTTTTTCAACTAAGGGGAATTATTTGGCCACATTTCTTCAGTTCTTTTGTTTTCTTTATTCAACATTTATACTGTAGTGCTCCTAGCAAGCCAGCCCATGGCTTCTTTTTTTTAATAAGTTTCATATCAGATATTACGCTTTTATTGTTAAGCCAGATCACATAATTTTCTAGTGCAAACCTGCCTATGAGAGCTGCCATTATTTCAATGCAGTTGTTGTTTGTTTAATAAGGTGAAATAGGATCTGGCATCTGGATAAGGTTGGCATGAAATGATAGACTCGCAAAAAAAAAAGGTTCCTTCTCAGTCCACGGACTAAAATCTGAACTGCAAATGAAGTTCAATCCTAAAACTAATGACTGAAAACTGACTTCCAAGGCTTGATTTTGATGGTGGAAATAATAATTAATCAAAAAAAGGTTTTGATAATGGCAATATATGCACCAACAATAAGCAAGAAATATTTTTATCAAGCATTACATAAGAAAATATTGGAAATGGAATATCAAAACATTTGCCTGCTAGGAGATTTTAATGCAATTGTGGATGAAACACTAGATTATAAAAGCACTAAATTAGGGGGGAAAGGAAGAAAGAGACTACCTAAGACATTCTTTAAAATGATAGAAGAAATTTGTATATAAGATGTCGGGAGAGAAATAAATTTGAAAAAGACTTAATATACATTTTATTCAGGGGTGGGTTCCGACAAACACTACTGCCAGTTTGCTCGTGCGCACACGCATGCGCAGTACAATTAAAATTGTTCTGCGCATACAGAGAACTGAAAAGATGGAACCAGTTCAGGGCCGTGGTTCCAGCGACCCGGGCCACCAAACCGCTACCAGTTCGGCCGAACCGGTCCAAACTGGGGAACCCACCACTGATTTTATTCAAATATACATAAATCATGGACTAGAATTGAAATGATAAGGATGTCTCCAGAACTAAGCACTGACACACTGGAGGTGGAAATAGAATGTAGTGTGTGGCCAGAGCAGAATCCATTAAAATTGATTTGGAAAGAAGTGAAGAAGAACCTTAGGTGGACATTGAACCAAGTCATATTAAGAGATAAAGAATTTACAGAACTGGCAGCAAAGAAAATAAAAGAGAAGATATATTGCTTCAGAATGTAAGGGACACATGCAAAGCATACTTTAGGGTTAGCTATAGCGTACAAAGCTAAAAAATACAAAGAGAAAAAACCAAGGCTCGATTGGTCCATTAGTTTAGCGGGCACTACACTGGCTGAGCAATAGAGCTTTGTACATCTTGAAGAAGAATTCTTTCTAGCAACATGTATGGGGTAATTTTCAACCAGTGGTTGTTTTAGTGAGGTGTGTACCCTCAAGGAGGTAATTTGGGCATATCCTAGGGATAATAGAACAACTTGTGAGTCAAGGATCCAGTTTGGGACTGCTGGTGCTGAGACCCTTATGTAAAACATAGATATTTTTTTTAAGGTTAATGACATTATTAAAGACTGGCAAAGGGGGTATTCGGGTCAAACAATTTAAAAGCCTCAGTTCTCAAGGCTTGATTATGCTGCAATGAAATGGAACCTTCACCATTCTTGAAGCAGTCAACTGGTCCAAAATCTTATTTATCAAAATAATTTGTAAATATAATAAATGAATGAACAAAGGGATAAAATGCTTTTATTAATGAAAGTTAACCTCTGCTGTGTTATCCAGATATCTTTTCCTAGTGAGTGTTAAAATGATACCATAGATTTAAATATTATTATATTCATAAAATTACTTAGATTTTAACTGCCAGTAGATTTTCTGACCTAATGTATAAACTTCTAGAATTTTACATAATTTTTTGTCACTTATGAAAATAGAAAAAGACAAGTTTTACAACTGCAACCGTACCTTGCTTTCTTATTCAATCACAGCTAGCCAAGGATGTGACTCTTTATTATCACCAGCAATTAGGTGGGAAAATGTCATTAGTATAATTGCTTTTCCCATGGTTCTTTAATTGTGTCTGTAGGTATTTAGAGTGATCAAGCTAAAATCTTCTTAGTTGCTTAGCAATTCATTTCAGAACTTTCTTATAATTAGGCAGATAGCTTGACCTTTAACAACAAACTTTTATAAGAACAATCTGGCAAACACCTTGATTTTTCATAAGCAGATGTTGGAGATATTAGATATTAAATATGCAACACAGTTAGTTCTTTCCCCACAGATCTGCAGCTTTGGAGATAGCTTCAAATCTGTTTCTCAAAACTGAGTTAGGGTCCAAATTCCAAAATGGTTTAAATGAAGTTGTTTTTCTAAGTGAATTTATGAATGAGGCTTTAGCCCTATTAAAATACCTACTGCTTTACATGTAATAGCAAAAGGCTTTCATTCAATCCATGCAAGCAGAGATATATGGACATGTTTTACATTGTCTCTGCATGGTAATCCAACCCCACCCCTCCTATTTCCCCAACCAGTTGGCCGTGTCATCAGGACAGGCTTGGAGGAAAAAGTTCAGAGTTGTATGCACCAGAATGCACTGAATGGAGACAAATGCAATAATGCTGCTGTGCCATATCTTGAAATAATACAAATTGCACTATAAAAAGATGGTTCAAATTTCTGAAATTTAGCATTGCTTCATTTCAGCAGGAGGCAGTTGATCTTGCCTGGACTTAGAAATTCAGCAAGGCCACTATAGATTAGGATTTGGATGAGGAACTCCAGAGAACCCTAAATTATAGATTAGATATGGACATTTCAAAAACAACAACAAGCAACATTCTGGACCAAGACCAAGACCAAATACTTCTCTACTGCTGCCAGAAAAACTACATGGATTTCTTTTTGATGTCACAAAGAATCCAGCTCAACTTCAAAGAGATTTCATCTCATCACTAAAAACATATTCATATGTATATAAATCATCTTCTGATCTTTCAGTAATCATATAAAGATCATAAATGCCACCAGGAACAATCCTGCTTCTGTTTCTATGAGTTCATATATAGGGCAGCTTTCATAAAGACTATGATAAAATATTATTGTCTTGCTTCAATTTTGCTCTTTGTAGCTCAAGATTTATACAGGATTGTACATATCATACATACCAGGGGTGGGTTCCTGCCAGTTCTAACCTCTTCTATAGAAGAGGTTCCACAAATCTACAGTGCCGTTTAGAACTGGTTCCAGCTCCCTCCCCCCCACCGTCCACATATCAAGATGAAGAGCGAGAGGAGGAATTCTGGGAGTTGAAGTCCACACCCTTGGGGGTTTTTTTTCTAAAGGGTTAGGGGTGCAAGGGTCTTGTAACTTGACAGCTTTAAGACTTGCATGCTTCAAATGCCAGAATTTCTGAGCCAACAT